CTAGCAGCTCCAACTCTAGCAGGACCGCCAGCTCCAGTACCGCCAGCAGCTCCAGCACCAGGAGCACCTCCAGGCCCAGTAGCTCCAGTACCTCCAGTACCTCCAGCAGCACCAGCTCCAGCAGCCCCAGCAGCACCCCAAGTCCCAGCAGCTCCAGTACCGCCAGTACGAGCACCTCCAGGACCAGTGGCTCCAGTAACTCCAGTGCCGACCGTAGGGTCAGCAGCAACAGTAGCACCTCCAGCTCCAGCAGCACGGCTCCAGCGCCGGGCAAACCACTCGCGCAGCTCCTGTGGAGAGGGTAGCTCCCACCTCGACGAAGCACCCGAAGGGCCCCCAAACCCAGCACCGCCAGAGGCCACACGAGCAGACCCAGCACCCCCAGGCTCCGCACCCCCAGGCTCAGCACCCCCAGGCTCCGTACCCCCAGGCTCCGCACCCCAGGCTCAGCACCCCCAGGCTCCGCACCCCCAGGCTCCACACCCCCAGGCTCAGCACCCCCAGACTCAGCACCCCCAGGCTCAGCACCCCCAGGCTCAGCACCCCTAGCAGCACCAGAGTCAACAGCGACCTCGACTGCGTCTACCTGGGACACACCTGACGGGGCAGGACCCTGAGGGGGGAGAGGGTCTACCGGGGGGGGACCTGGCGCAAGGAAGAGCGGCGGCGGGGGGAGGGGCGCAGTGCGGTAGGGGAAGAGACGGTAGTAAGGCACCGACTCGTCAAAGGTGACGTCCTGGGAGGACAGAACACGGCGCGAGGTGGGGTGGTAAAACTGCCAACCAGGCGCGTCAGGGGGGAAGCCAAGGAAGACGCAGGGAACAGCACGGGGGGACAGCTTGTCCGCAGACAAGTCGCGGACAAACGCCCGAGATCCCCAGACACGAAACGCAGACGCATCGCCAACCTTCCCCGTCCACCGCAAGGTGGGGGAGGTCTCTGGCAAGGAGACCCGGGGCTGAAGGTTGATCTGATGCGCTGCGTACTGAACCGCAAACGGCCACAGAAAATGGGGAGCAGCCGCATGGATCATGGACGTACGAGCGACGTCCATGACCATGCCAATGCGGCGCTCAGCAATCCCATTTTGCTGTGGAGAGGCCGGAAGCGTGAAGGTCTGGCGGATGCCCTGTGCACGACAGAAGGCTCCCAGAAGGGCAGAGGAAAACTCCCCGCCTCTGTCAGAGTGCAGACGCAGAACAGGAAAGTCCGAGCCGAAACTCTCTCTGAGCTGGAGACGAGCTGCGCGGATCCAGTCGATCAACACCTCAGCGACGTCACCCTTGCTGCGCAAGGGGAACACTGTGGTGTAACGCGAGTAGTCGTCAACCACCAACAGGAAGTAACGCTCGTGACCCTGGCCACGGACGCGGGCGGGGCCCCACACGTCCATGTGAAGAGTCTGCAGGGGAGCCTCTGTCGGAGGAAACTCGGAGGAGTGAGGGGCGGCGCGCTGCCGCCCCTCGACGCAGGGAACGCAGGTAGGGGCAGGCCCCGGAGGGAGGGGAGGGAGGGACCGGGGGAGACCAGAGACAAGGTAACGGGAGGCCATGCCTCGGAGACGAGGCAGGGAGGGGTGACCAAGGCGGTGGTGCCAGAGGAGAGTCTGGTGGGACAGGAGACGACACGAGCAGGGAGCAGACTCAGGACCAGACCTGGACGCTGCTGCAAACACCTGACCCGACGCAGCTACCTGACTAGACTCAGCAACCGGAGGAGACTCAGTAGTCAGTGTGTACAGGCTCGACCCCGGCTGACGGGTAAACGTGGCCAAGTGTCGGCCCGTCCGAGCACACGTACAGTGGGTCACCCGCTGACTCGCAGGAGTGAACTGGTCAACCCCCCCATCCTGTAGATCAGCACCACTCACCAAGTTCGTAGAGAACGAGGGGAGGTAGAGACCTGACAGGGTGCCAGAGGGGGCCGTCGGACACGGTAAGACAGTGGAGAAGTGGGCAAGGACAGGACCCCCAGAGGGGTCCGCCAGGGAGACCGCAACTGGCCGACTAAGCGCCGTAAGCGTGGTGCGGTCTCGAAAGAAGGAGCGGGAAGCACCCGAGTCAAGGGTGAAGGTGTGTAAGGCCTGAGCTGACGTGGTACCTGAGAGAGCAGACTCACCAGCACCTGGGGCAGCAGACGCACTAGCACCGAGAGCAGCAGCCTCACCAGCACCTAGAGCAGCAGCCTCAATGCCCGGGTCAGGCGGAACACACAGGTAACAGTCACCCTCATCACTAGTAGACACAACATACATGGCAGCAAGAATGGCATCATAATCTAGATCAAAGATAGCAACCCCCGACCTAAGCAGCTCGCCCCAGCGGGGGATCTCAGTGGCGTCAGGGAACTGGAGACGCCAAGCGTCCGTCAGGCGGCCGAAGCAGCGCTGGGTGGTGTGCGGGCCACCGCACGGCTCACCAGTGCGGTCGCCGGTCCGCAGGACGTAGGCACAAGGACCAGCACCCCCACCCCGCTGACCCGCAGAGTACCACTCACGAAAATGCTGGGGGGGCGGGGTCTCACGAGTGCGCTGCTGCTGCTGGCGCTGACCACCACCGAAGCCGCCCCGCTGCGCAGAGCCACCCGGACCAGCTCCACCTCCTCCGCCGCCACCTCCGCCACCGCCACCACCGCCTCTCCCTCCGCTCCCACCGCCACCGCCGCCGCCGCCTCCGCCTCCACCGCCGCCACCGAAGCCCCCACCCCCTCCACCACTCCCACCGCCACCCCCACTCCCTCCGCCGCCTCCACCGCCACCTCCACCGCCCCCGCCAGCCCCTCCAGCGCCCTTGCCCCCCTTGCCCTTGCCGGTGCGACGTCTCCCGCTAGGGGCAGACGCAGCGCCGGCCGACTCGGTGCCAACGAAGTCGACGGCAGCAGCAGAGGCAACAGAGGGCAAAAGGGGAGAGGGGGAGCACCCCTCAAAGAAGGGGGCACGAGGGTCACCACGAGAGGCTCCTACAGCGACTATACTCTTCTCAGCTGCCAGGAGGCGCTCCTCGAGGAGGTCAACGGTGAGTGTGGTGGGGCAAACAAAGAGGAAGTGGTCCCTGACCGAGCGAAGGGAGTCAAGGAGCCGGGTGACTATGTAGTAGAGGGTGATGTACATGGGGGGGGGGTTCTTGGCGCAGAACTCAGCAGGAAGCGCAGCGCGGTAGCGGGTGTCACTAGTGCGGAGGTGCGTAATGAGGTCAGCGACTGTGGGAAAGGCGGCGAGGTCAGGAAACAGGTACGGCAGCATGAGGCGGCTAAGGGCAGCAGTGGCAGGGGAAGAGTAGCGTGCAACTACAGCATCGTACAAGGTCTTAGCAATCTTGTACTGACTAAAGTGCGCGCGCTCAGTGGACGGCAAGTGACTACGCACAGCAAGACGGGCAGCAGCATCGCGTGTGGCCCACTGTGAGCGAACAGTGCTGTCAGCATCGGCAGCAGGGGCAGCAGAGGCGCCAGACGTGAGATCGAACAGTGAGAGACCGTCCTTCCTATCGCACTGTAGGAAAAGCTGTAGATCATCGACCCAGACCTCAAAGTCAACAGCCCGACCCTCAGCATCAAAGACTAGAACGCTAGGGGTAGCCATGACAGCAGTGGCAGCAGGCTAGGGGCAGCAGTAGCAGGCGTGGCTCGGCAGTGCTCTTACCAGGGCTGGTAGGTAGGGGCCGGCAAGCGGTGGGGCAGGGCCGAGGCGCGTCGGCAGGGACAGAGCCGCGACCGCGGCGGCAGCTCCTGCTGTTAGTGGCGGCGGCAGTCGCGGCTGTCGGCGGCGACGGCTGCTGCTGGTGGCGGCCGCCGCTGCTGACAGCGGCATCTGCTGCAGTCGGCTGCTGCTGGCGGCGGCGGCGGCTGCTGCTGGTGGCGGAGGAGCCGAGAAGGGGTCGGGAAGGGTGGCGACGGGGCCACGAAGGGCGGCGACGGGGCCGAGAAGGGGCCGCAAGGGGCCTCGAAGGGCGGCGACGAGGCCGCTAGGGGCGGCGACGGGGCCGCGAAGGGGCCGCGAGGGGCCGAGAAGGGCGGCGACGGGGCCGCTAGGGGCTGCGACGGGGCCGCTAGGGGCGGCGACGGGGCCGCGAGGAGCGGCGACGGAGCCGCTAGGGGCGGCGACGGGGCCGCGAAGGGCGGCGACGGGGCCGTAACGGGCGGCGACGGGGCCGCGAGGGGCGGAAACGGGGCCGCGAGGGGCGGCGACGGGGCCGCTAGGGGCGGCGACGGGGCCGCGAAGGGTGGCGACGGGGCCGCTAGGGGTGGCGACGGGGCCGCGAGGGGCGGCGACGGGCCGCGAAGGGTGGCGACGGGGCCGCCAGGGGTGGCGCGAGGGGCCGTGAGAGGGGCCTCTAGGAGGGCGCGACGGGCCGCTAAGGGCAGGGGACGCAACGAGAGGGCGGCCCACGGGGCGCGCCTCGGGCAGGGGCGACTCGCGCTCCGGGCAGAAAAAAAAAGTTTTCGATTTTCAGTGGTGGGCCCTAGGAAGCGTTCCCACTAGGGAACCTGCTCTGATACCATGTGAAGAAATGAGGAAAATGATTGACTAGGGGGAAGGTTGGGTACAAGTACAAACCCTAGAAATGTGTTGTACCCCATATGTGCTACCCCACTATAGCCTACATAGGCTAAGTCATATAAGTCTGACATGGAATGAACGCTTTTGCTATCAAGATTCAGTTTGACACTATAGACTTAACACGTAAAAATCATCGTTCATACCTAAACAGGCGTAGCACAATCCGAATCAAAAACAAAATCACAAAAGCAAATTCACAGTTCACAAATTTCAAACACCCATCCGCGAAAACCATGCATGCCGCAATCACATTTCCTCCGTTTCCTGGTCGTCAAGATCAATTGCCTGGGAGCCACCTTCGTCGTCCGATTTTGCGGCACTCTTTTTTGCATGCGCCGGCTAACGTCACGATTCTCGGCCTTCGCTCGTTCGTCACCGCACTCGATATACAAGCCCAGCGCCCGCATCTTCTTAGCGGCATCTGGGTCGAAGTTCCAGGTTCTCAACACATCCACCTGCTCTTCTCATTTTTCGTGACAGCTGCTTTCTTCGCGTCCTCGAAATGTTTCGCGACCTGGAGCTCGATCTTAGCAGCATCATGTCCCTTCATCGCTGCCGTGACGATATGCTTCCAAACTGCGAGGTAGAGAACCACGCTCAGATCGTTTGCTCCTGCAAGCAGCGCGGCCTGTTTCACGCTCTTCAGATCACATTCCTTACACTGCATCCAGGAAACCGCACAAACAAACGCCACACTCCCAGCACCAGAGGGCACATACTTCTTGCCCTTCGCGGGTGAATCGTCCGCCACGGTCTCGAGTCCAACCGCAGTTGAGCAGGCGACCTCGTCGCTCGCTTCCGCGTTTTCGTCCTTTAAAGTCATATACCGTTTGATCACAACTTGAATCCTGCATGAGGGACAGTGATATAATTAGATGCCGTGTTGTATAATCACATCGCAAACAACTGATACCAGACAATATGGACCTTTCGGGGCTTGCGCAGATACCTCGCAGATAAAGCACCGCGAAAACTCCAGGGTGCATAATCCGCGCCACATCAAGATCGGGGGTCCACTCCTCTTCTTCCTCGTCCGTCAAAACCAGCCTGTCCTCGGGAATCTGCTGATTCCACACCATCTGTGCCACCGCGCACAGAAACCGAACGGTAGGGAGCTTAGGGTGGGAACCGAAGTACCAGCGTGACGAGTGTTGAAGCTCCAAGGTGAACAAGCCCCGCGAGTTTTGCCGTATACCAACACCCCATTTCGGATCCTTCTTCTCCTTTCCTTTCGCGCTTCCCTTCGCGTCCGCCTTCTTCGGGTGCTGAACCATGGACAACCACTTCTGCATGGCCTCTGTTGCCTCCGCATCTGCGTCAGGGATTTCCTCTGCGCCCTGCAGTAAGGGCACACCAGCCTGCTGGATCGCGGAACCTCCAGCTGGTGGCGGCCCTCCAGTGCCAAGCGCGATCGGCGAGGGTCTCTTAACAATCGCACCCGCGGCTTTGGACTTCTGAGCCAAACTCCCGCGGCCAGGTTCTCGGGCCTCCGGTTGCTCGGACGAGCCCTTCGCTTTCTTGGGGGGCGGTGAGGGTGAACGGGGTGTCGGTAACCCTGGTGGCCTCTTCGCCCCGCGATCCTCGCTCCCTGTTGCTTCCGCGGTTTCCAAGCGCAAGGGTCCGGTGACCATCCTGATGCCTCCACCTCCACGGTCCGCGGTAGTCGCCACACCTACCTCGAACATCCCCATCCTTCCCCACGGGGCCATCTCGTAACGCGTTTGCGCCACTGCCTCCGAAATCGAATCCGCAATCAAAGCCCTCAGTCCCACCATCGTGTCCTCCAACCTACGGAGCGTACTGTCCGCGGCCTCGCGCTGACAGTCGCAGACCCACTGTCCGAGCCCAGTTTTTCTCCGCCTCTTTAAACCACGTTGCGATGTTGCTCGTCCTCGTAAGGGCTACGTCCAGGTTGTCCTTCTGGACTTGAAGATCATTCAGAAGGCCGCGAATCCGATTGCGCTGAACCTTGAGGACGTGTTCCGCTTCATACTGAGCCTGAAGTGTATCATCCAGAGCACCTTCTAGCCTGACAACCTCGTGCGCGAGCGTCAACACTGGCCAGGTCACTAGCTCAGATACCGCGTGGCGCGGCAAATTCGCAGCCTCATCGCCAATATCTCGCATTCCTGGGCCCACTCTTACGTTCGCGCCAGCAGTAGGCTGCGCTTCTGCATGAGGCGCGGAGGGTTCCTGGGCCGCGGTTTTTGCTGCGGCAGTCAGATCGTGAGTGTCAACCGCAGCTTTCTGGGTGCCAGCCGCAGCGGCAACATTGCCGTCTCGCTGCTCACCGTCCTTGCCGTCGCCATCCCCTTCACCCGCCACCTCGGTTTCTTGATCGCCCTCTGCTTCCTTGTATTCCTCGTCGTCGGACTCCTCCTGCCTAGTCTCAAGCGCGTGTCGCCGGCCTGACGCCTCTCCAGACCCTCCGGTCTGGTCGGAGATGCTCATTTTGATAGCGATGTCCTGCGCGTGCTTCAGGATTTGGAGGCGAGTTGACCCCTTCAGATTCTTGTTCGCTGCGGCTCGGACCAGAGCATTAGAATTCTTGGCCAGAGCCACGAATTCCGAAAGCACACGATGGAACCCGTAGACGCTCTTCACGCTGGATCCACACCGTGAATCATCTATCGCGCTTAAGTCCTGCACGCGATTACAGCAGGAAGGTCAGTTTCAGCTTTGCTCATTAATATCGCGGCCAATCCGTACTTGAGCATGGCGGGTATAGGGGCCTCGGATTCCAGCAACTTTTCCTGCTGCGCCGTCGTATAAATCTTTGTTGTTCCGCGGCGATCACCTCCGTGTTTCTCCAACACGAAACTGAGAACATAACAAAAAAAACCGTCAAGCTTCGATCCGTCATAAAATATACAGGCGCACGGTTGAGATGAAACACGCCAGCGCACTTTTATATGCACGCGAAATCGAGGACTGCGGCTGTGAAGTCGGCTCTATCATCCGCGGGAACGGACTTGTCTTCCGCGGCCAGCACAACGGTGGCTCCGCCCGCCTCCATGGCGACGTCAAACTTCTTAAGGCACCCGACGGGGTCGGACAGTGCGCGCGCCTTACGAGACATTTTGCCGCAAACGCGAATGGCACGCTTCAGCATGACACGCGTGACCGACGGGTGACCAACATTTGCATCACGGAAACCCAGTGACGCGGTTTTTTTACGCGAAAACTGAGCAACGATTCAAGGCCCCGCTTTACCTACACACACGCAAAAAAACTAAAACCGCATCGAAAAATGCGCACGGCTTCTACGTTCCCGAATTACGCGTTAGCCCGCGCGAGGGGCCCACTAAATCACTCCCACTTCAGCGCCCCAATACGGAAAAAAAACAATACAACACACCGCACTCGACAACAATCGCATGCCCTGTAATCCACCTAGCTCTCCACACTCACCCCTTGCACACAAAATCCGCCCACCCGCCTACACCTGTCCCCTAGCCCAATCCCCCGGTGCTCACCTGAATTGAAGTTCGAAAGCAGAAGAGAAGGTTGAGAATCAATTGCAAAAAATCACAATCGCTTGCACAAATGAGAAATGACGGCCTCTAGCTTCTTTTACCCCCTCCCCGCTCGAGAATCCACGGCTGCAACATCCGCCGGCTGCAACCGTGAATATCGCCACGGACGCGTCCCAAACCGCGGCTGTGAGGCTCGTTGGGGTTTCGTCCTCGCCTCAGCGTCGCTCGTTTGCCGACACGGGGATTTAGTAATCTGTGTGGCAAGCGAAGTGTACAAGCGCGATGATTTTTATTATTAAGATCGAAATGAACCGAAACGACATGCACGCGCTTTCACAAACGGGCTTTGTAACAACATCGTCTCTCACGAAGGTCGCAAACGCTCGGGATATTTCGATGCCATGGGTCGCCGGGGGGTTACCGGGCCGGGTTCGTGCTGCTTCAGCGTGGCTCGGCTCGAGCAGTTAGCCGAGTCAGGTGGTCCCCGAACAGTTGCGTCACCCGGTTGGGTTCTGAGTCAGCGGGTGGTCCCCACGGGCAGCCGAGGCCCAGCGGGTGGGCCTGGCGTCCCAGTCAGGTTCTGAAGGGCCGGGCGTCGGATTCCTCGCGAGGAGGGTCGGGCGAGGCGGGCGGTTGACTGGGCAGTTCCAGGCTGGCCTCGCTCGCGTGCCCGGGGTGACGACGGCGAGGGCATTGGCCCTCCTCGCGGCCCCCTCCTCGCGGGGAATGGGACACCCTCGGCCCAAATAGAGCAGCCAGCGCATTAGCGAACCCCGAAGAAGACATGATCGAGACGAGGTTTCTTTGAAATTTCGTACCGACACTCTCACCACGGAGGTCGTACTCGAGTTTCCGGAAGTACCCTGATGTCCGTAGCCCCCGCTTTATCGGGAAGAAGTTTCTTTGAAATTTCGTTCCTATTCACCCACCATCGAGGTTCAGTTTTGATAATGCACATCGCGTTACTACACTGATCCTGACTTCTCGACCCTGAACAATCAGACTATATAACTTCCCAACACTGAGCAATCAGGGTGATGTTTTCCTGGAAAATGTGCACCCATAATAGAGGGGGATTTTTTTTCCCGGAATCAAGGAGGCCTAATTTGAAACGTCAGCCCTGCGTGGAACCCTTACCTGGCATGAATCTTGGAAGGATCTCTTAATGTTATGACTAAAGTATCGTAGTGGATAGGATAAGCTTGTTAAGTATGTAAGAGAACTATGAAGCCTCTGTAATGACCTTGTTGATAAAGTTGAAGAACAAGATGATTATATGATAGGAGTACAAGGATATCAATAGAAATCCTAGCTAGCCATGTACTCGAGGGGTACATTCCCTTATTAAATGAACTACATTGCTACAGTAACCGCGACTATTCTACTCTTGACAGTTACCATGTTGCATCGCGCAACTACCAAGTGCGGTTACTGGTCATTCAAGGGTCACGATCGTTGACTGTCTTCGACTGTTGACCTTCGGGGTGACCCTTGACCTTCCGCGTGCTATTGCGGTACTGATATAGGCGCTTACTTCGTTATGAAGTGACGCGAGAGTGGAGAGCCTTCGGGAATGCTTACGATAACCTTTCGGTTATTCCAACACTCCCCTTCATTCCTGAAGGTGAGCCACGTGGGACTTCTTGGTGACCCCGCAGAGGTCGGCGTAGTGCTGGAACTGTTGACGTGGTAGTTTCTTCATCAGAAAGTCGGCCGCCATGTCACCAGTTGGGCAGTACGTGAGCTTGACCTTGCCTTTGTCAATTTTGCCCTTGACGAAAAAAGTATCGAAGGGCGATGTGTTTCGTGCGGTTCACGGTGTCAGAACTATGCTCTAGGCTGCAGTGGGGCACTCCTTAAGGGGTACAGCCCAATTAAGTTTTGCTATACAAACCTTGTACTACTGTGTTTCTAGTCACTTCTTCATTCCTGATTCTGACATGGTTTCAGAGCAGGTTCCCTAGTGGGAACGTTTTTTTTAGGGCCCACCACGATATCTTTTTTTCCTGCCCTGCCCGAAGCGCGCTTCGCGCCTGCCTCACCAGCGCCGTCGCGCGCCCTGCCCTACTGCCGCCCGTAGCGGCCCTGCCCTCCTGGCCTGTAGCGGCTCTGCCCTAACGGCCCGTTGCGGCCCTGCCCTTTCGCGGCCCGTCGCGGCCCTGACCTAGCCGCCCGTCGCGGCCTTGCCCTGTCACCGCCCCTCGCGGCCTACCCTAGCCGCCCGCCGCGGCCTGGCCTTGCCGCCCGTCGCGGCCCTGCCTTGCTGCCGCTCGTCGCGGCCCTACCCTACTGCCGCCCCGTCGCGGCCCTGCCCTTACGCCGCCTCGTTGCGGCCCTGCCCTGCAGCCGCCCAGTCGCGGCCCTACCCTACAGCCGCCCCGTCGGCCCTGCCCTACAGCCGCCCCGTCGTGGCCCTGCCCAGCAACCGCCCAGTCGCGGCCCTTCCCTGCTGCCGCCCCGTCGCGGCCATGCCCTGCAGCCGCCCCGTCGCGGCCCTGCCCTTCAACCGCCCAGTCGCGGCCCTGCCCTGCTGCTGCCTCGTCGCGGCCCTGTTCTACCGCCGCCCCTTTGCGGCCCTGCCCTGCTGCCGCCCCGTCGCAGCCCTGCTCTACCGCCGCCCCGTTGCGGCCCTGCCCTGCTGCCGCCCCATCACGGCCCTGCTCTACCGCCGCCCCGTCGCGGCCCTGCCCTGCTGCCGCCTCGTAGCGGCCCTGCCCAGCTGCCGCCCTGTACGCGGCCCTGCCCTGCACCCGCCCCTGGTAAGCGCCCGCCCTGCCAAGCGCGCCGCTGTGCCTGCCTGCCTGCCGCGCCGCACCGCCTAGCCGAGCCGCGCCGCTCTGCCGAGCCGCGCCGCCCTGCCGAGCCGCACCGCCCTGCAGTGCCGCGCTGCCCTGCCCTGCTGCTACTGCCGCCATGGCTAGTCCCACTGTGCTTACCTTCGATGCTGAGGGCCATGCGGTCGATTTTGAGGTTTGGGTAGATGACTTGCAGCTCTATCTTCAGTGCGACTCCAGGGACGGAGTCTCGCTGTTCGATCACACGTCCGGTGCCTCTGTTGCACCTGCTGCTGACGCTGACAGTACTGTTCGCTTGCAGTGAACCACTCGTGATGCTGTTGCTTGCCTTGCTGTTCGTAGTCACCTGCCGTCTGCTGAGTGCGCGCACTTTGGCCAGTACAAGACCGCTAAGTCTCTGTATGATGCTGTTGTCGCACGCTACTCCTCCCCTGCCTCTGCTGCCCTCAGCCGCCTCATGCTACCGTACTTGTTCCCTGACCTAGCCACGTTTGCCACAGTCGCTGACCTCATCACTCACCTCCGCACTAGTCACACCCGCTACAGTGCTGCGCTTCCCTTCGAGTTTCGCGCCAAGAACCCCCCCCCCCCCCCCCCATGTACATCACCCTCTTCTACCTAGTCACCCGTCTCCCTGACTCTCTCCGCGAAGTCAGGGACCACTTTCTCTCCCTTTGCCCCACTGAGCTCACCGTCAACCTGCTCGAGGAGCGCCTCCTTGCAACTGAGACTAGCATAGTCGCTGTACGAGCTTCTAACGGCGACCCTCGCGCCCCTTTCTTTGAGGGGTGCTCCCCCGTCCCCTTTTTTCCCTCTATTGCTTCTGCTGCTGCTGTCGACCTCGTTGGCACCGAGGCGGTCGGGGCTGCGTCTGCTCCTAGTGGGAGGCGCCGCAGCGGCAAGGGCAGGGGGGGCAAGGGTGGTGGAGGGGACGGCGGGGGCGGCGGTGGTGGCGGTGGAGGAGGTGGAGGGGGTGGGAGAGGAGGTGGGGGTGGAGGCGGGAGTGGGGGCGTCGGTGGCGGCGGTGGAGGTGGAGGCGGTGGCGGCAGCGGCAGTGAGGGTGGCGGCGGCGGTGGTGCTGGTTGGGGTGGAGCCGAGCAGCGTGGAGGCTTTGGCGGTGGCCAGCGCCAGCAGCAGCCGCGTTCCCGTGAGGCCCCGTCGCCCCAGCAGCTTCGTGAGTGGTACGCTGGGCGTGGGAGGTCTGGGGGTGCTGGTCCCTGCGCTTACGTCCTCCGCACCGGCGAGCGCCGTGGGGAGACGTGTGGGCTGCCGCACGCTACGCAGCGCTGTTTCGGTCGCCTGACTGACGCCTGGCGCGCACAGTTTCCTGACGCTACTGAGCTCCCTCGCTGGGGTGATCTGCTTAAGTCTGGTGTTGCTATCTTTGATCTTGATTATGATGCTATCCTTGCTGCCATGTATGCTGTGACTATTAGTGCTGAGGGTGACTGTTACCTGTGTGTGCCGCCTGACCTAGGTATAGTGGCTGCTGCTCTAGGTGCTAGTAAGTCTGCTGCTCCAGGTACTGGTGAGCCTGCTGCTCCAGGTGCTGGTGAGTCTGCTCTCTCAGGTACTGCGCCTGCTGAGGCCTTGCACACTTTCACTCTTGACTCAGTACGCTGCGCATCAGCTCAACCTCCAGCCCCGTGTCTCCGTTCCGGAGACCACACCTGCTCTACGGTGGACGGGGAAGGTTAGCGATGCGTCTGTGTTCCGTGTCTGGGGATCTCGAGCTTTTGTCCGCGATTCTTCCGCGGACAAGCTGTCCTCCCGTGATGTTCCCTGCGTCTTCCTTGGCTTCCCCCCTG